TCTCGTTTCAGCTTGGCCAATTGAGAGAAATGCGACCGGGTGCCTCTTCTCTGTCATATTTTCCTCTCTGAGGAAGGGGTGTCTGTGCATGAGAGGCCTCAATAAACCTGTGCTTTATGGATCGATTTGTAGGATCCCGGGGTGAGCAGCAGCCTGTTCCAGAACCCTGCGAAGCTGCACCTGACGCTGGGGACCTTGGTGCTCCTGAGCGAGCAGGAGATCCGCAAGGCGTGCGAGCTCCTGCAGCGCTGCAAAGAGGACTTTGTGGAGTGAGTGCCACCAAAGGGGAGCAGATTGCAGCCCTACAGCCTGGGAACTCAGCAAAACCCAAAGTGTTTTGACTAGAAATATCCTACATCAAGGAGCAGTAGCAGCAACTGTAACTTGTAGTTCTGCTCCAGCCCCCGGCACTGCCCGGAAACCTTCTCTACTTGTTTCCTTTTCTCACAGCAGTCCCAGTTATTTCTTGTGTGAAGAATTTCTGCTGTTAACTGTAAACGTAGTCGAATGGCACCGCAATTAGCTTATCCCTGCACTGCTGGGTGGCCTGAGGGGCTGGTTATTTATTTATTGCTTGCAAAGCTTTAGCATGCAGAATGCCTGCTTCATTTTCACATTGGCCCGCGAGGGTTTAGCCATGCTAGCCTTGTTAATATCTGTGAGAACTGATGCAAGGCCAAAATTTACACCTCTTCCTCCAAAATTAAGGCTTCATTTTGATTTTTTTCCCACCTGTTAAACAAAAACGCAAGCCAGTTTCCATCAGTAGCTGCTGCCTTCCTTATGAGTGGATTGAACCGAGAGGAAATCCTTAGCCACTGTTTCCTTGGGTGGAGGAGGAATCACCTTTGGAACACAGTTATTTTTCTTGGCGTTGCCAAATAAACACACTTTTAAAAATTGGTTTAGGCTCCCCTCATTGCACAGAGACCTTCGTCAGTGTGTGTTTGTTTTTCTGCATGCAGGCAGTGCCTTCTGAAGGAAGATACGTGCCCTTGCTGCCCCTTTTCATAGGATACATGGCATTTTATAGGATACAGGTGTGGGAGTGCCTATTGAATCATGTGTTGTAAGCTCTGCCTTCCTGCAGGAGCAGCTGGAAAAAATTATAAAATGGCTCATTTTGCTTCTGGCGTGTTCAAATGTACTTAAAACTGCACTTGGTGTTGGGTGCTTTTTGCAGAGGAATGAGGGAACTGGAGACTTCGTGGCACAATCAGTCCCTTTGCAGGAAAATGGGAGCTTCCTTGGAATGAGAAATTATCCTCTATTATTGCTGATGGGCTTTTATATAAACTAGATGGAGATTTCTGCCTTGAGATGGCCTGTGAATGCCATCAGGTTGACTTAATGTATGTCCAAAACAGCAAAAATGTGGAGAATTTAATGATATTTCTGGAGAAAATGAGCAGTTTTCAAGCTTTAGAAACTGGGGAGGCTTTTGTGTTTCAGGGAGTTTTCAGCATTTAGTGTATGGTAAAAAATACTGTATTTACCTATAGCTATATATATATATATATATATAATTTGCTAGCAAACCCAAACATTTAGTGTGTGCGTGAAGAGCACTCTGGGTTGTATCTCAAAAGCGGGTGGGCTGTTTTGTGCTTTAAGGGTTTTAAATTAAGGGTTTTCTTGCATTGCAGCCAAATTACCGGAGGCAGCCCCTTGACCGTGGAGGTGGCAGGGGTGGAGTACATGAACGATGACCCTGCCATGACAGATGTCCTCTATGCAAAAGTCCACATGAAGGACGGCTCGGACAGGTGAGTTCCTCGTGTTCCCTCCTTGCGACTCCCCTTCACGTGTGGAGAGCACTGAGGAAGCGGGAATTCTTGAAGGAAGCAGATTAGGGCCAGACCTGGATCTTGGCACCTAAAGACCTCCAGAGCTGTGTTTTGCAGCACGTCTTTTGCTTTCGGCGCGGTCAGAGAGCGTTGTGTGGTTGTAACTCTTCATCCAGGCGGGTCCTGCCCTTTCCTGTCAATTAATTCATCTCTCACAGCAGGATGAACCAGCACTTCTGTCCTAATATAGTCCCTGAGCTGGTAGTGAGAGTTCAGCAAACGTTCAGCTTTGCAGAGGGGAAAGGAGACATTTTTATGCTCATTTAGAGCACAATAAGTTTCTTTTGCTTTTGCTGAGGCTCCGGGAGACAATGTATTGACCAAGGAGTGATCACAAAGAAGAGAGGCATGGAGATTCCTCCGTGAAAACCTGCTTTGCTTTCCAGTCTGCTGCACGGATCACTGCTGAGCAACTCCACACGCTTCTTGCCTGCTAAGTAGCACTTTGCTCGGGGAAACGGGCAAAGCGGGTAGAAATCACAGTTTCTTGCTCAGAACTAGAAGCAAGCGGAGGCCACGTGCTTTGCTGTGCTAGATCAGATGTTTGCTGCTAACGCTGGCGAGTTTTGTGGCTTCCCATTCCATGCGAGATGTATGGCCAGCTATTCCAGGTGGTTCCTGGTGTGGCTGAGGGATGGAGACCCTTCCTGATCTTCCCATGATCTCCCTCAGCTTAAGCTATAAAGCAGGCGGTTTGATTTACCCTGACTTAGCTTGCCTAACCACAGACAGCACTGAGGCTTGGAAGCCCTTCCGCACATAGAATGGCTCAGACCCAGAGAGTGATCATGCTCTTGTGCCTCCCACATGGCAAATAATTTCCGTTATAATTCATTCTATTTTTTTTATTTCCTTGATTAACTTTATAGCACGATAAAGCACCGTTTTCACTCGAGCTATTCTCTGTTAATTTGTTTTAGTGTTGTCTGTAATGATATTCATTCAATCTTTGTCACTGCTAATTTTAAAAATCACCCATGTAAAGCCAGAAAGTGGTAGAAATCTATGAGAATTGGTAGTCTGCAAGTCTTGAAATCGTCGCGTGGCTGCTGGAAGCCCACGATGGGCAGCACGAAGCCCAGGGAGCGCCGTGATGCTGGAGCACCGTGTCCTGTTACAGCTGAGAAACCAAAGTGGTGGTTCCTAGGGGAATGAGAGCGCTGTCTGACTGCTGGGAGGTGGGAGAGGAGCCCAAATCCTGCTTTATAGATGGGTAATACTTAAGGTGCGCTCTGTAAATGAGAGTGGATCCCTCTGGAGTCAAGCTCTCTCTGTGGGGCTCTGGTTTTAGCCCTTGTAAGGAGGCTTTTATTACATTGCATGGCAGTAGAAAGATGTGTCCTTCAAGTGCCAAGAGCATTGCGCTCCTTGCCGTGAACGAACTCTCTGCCCTTGAACCTCTGCGAAAGCTTCTCGGCCAGAACCTTGGGCTCGAGGACTGCTTTGCCTGGCAGAATTCAGGGGAGGTTGTTGCCTTTGCATTCAGTGCCTGC